TGAGAGGATTGCTGACACTCGTACCTTATAGTAAACAAAAAACATGTCATCCAAGGTACTAGATCATCAAATGCACCAGGCCAAAAATGGGGGCAAAAAAGATACTTACAAGAGAATTCATAGCCCCAGCCTTTTTGTGGTGATCAAATCCAGGTCTCTTTTCTCGAGAAACATAAATCAAGCGAGGCAGCTCATTGCCTTCAACATCAAGAACACCATCCTGACCAAGGAATACCTGTAAAATAATAGGAAGAAAATATAATGTAACTTTTATTTCCTGCTTCAGATGCAGCATCATATCAGGAATTCATGTCCACTCATAACGCTTGTCTAATCATAAACCCATGCTGAATAAAAAATTGCGAGCAGGTCAGCACTAAGCAAGAGGCTTCAACAACTACCAGACATCTCTTTCAATGTCAACTCAAAAAACTAGTGAGAAAACATAATCGAAACTGAAAGGTAATCAATGACTCTGCAGGGGCCAACAATTTCAACCAACCATTACATTAAATAAACAGGATAGTCAGTTTAAAAGACAAAGCATATTACCTGAATCATGCCAGGATGATCTCTCACATTGTTTCCAGGCCAAGGAGTCCCATCCTGCATGGTCCATCCATCCTCAGGAACCTTCTGTGCTGTTGCCACCAAACTGTTTACCCTCACCTTGAATTCTTCATAGTCCCTCTTGATACCCAAGGAAAAAAACAATCATGAGTTGAAATGTTTCATATTATTCGGAATAAGTTAAGCATAAGATGCTGTTTATTTAAAAATAAGAGTAGAAAGTTTCATACCTTCATTGCTCTCCTTTCCCTGACAAATGCTGGATGTACTTTATTTTTCAGATAGTCAATCTTCTGACTAAAATACCATTCTGGGGCCCGGGGCTCAATATTGTATTTCTTACAAAAGGGGACCCATTTTCTAGCAAATTCAGATGTCTCGGAAAGTGCTTCAAAAGTGAGCATGGCAGCACCATCATCAGAGACATAGCAAGCAACTTTATCGACTGGATAATCAACAGCAAGGATGGAAAGCACCGTGTTTGCGGTTATTAGTGGAGGTTCTTTTGAGGGATCAACAGTACTGACAAACACGTCCACGCTGGATAACTCAGAAGGCTTCCCTTCTTTTTCATACCTGCACCCATATGAGAAGTCAATGCACAGAGAGAGAGAGAGAGCTCCGATTGAGCATGAAAAAGTAGAACGGCTTACGCAAGGCATGCTAGTGACAAGATGTAGATACAGATGAGGAAACAGAATGCACTAGCCATGGTCAAAGCAATTACCTAAGTGATAGCCGATCAAGGTATGTTTCTCGCTTTATTGGGTACCACTTTGGAAACTGATCCATAATCCAGGATACAGCAAACCATATTTCACATATGACGGATGTCAACCACAGGGCATACGCGTCGTTAACTGGATGGAGAATTCTATAATGGAAAAAAAGCCCAAGAATTACAAGGCGGGTTATTATGATCATTCTGTATGGATTTATCTTGCTTGAAGGGATTGGAAGCTTCCGTGACAGTGGCTGCCTGCCTTCATCCATCCTGATAAAATACATTGCAAAAATCTTATTAACAGACAAATAAAAATAATTGAAGAGAAACATGCAGCAGAGAATTAGAACAATCAGAGAAATAGCATATAAATCATATTCTGATGGAGACTTAGTACTATAGGATACCAAGTCCCACATCAAGTAGCATGGGATACTCAATCGTATCTGGTTCTTCCACTTCAACAGCTAACTTTTGGGGTAGGGTTCCTTATCCCACTTAGATACCATCAATTGGTATCAAAGCCTCATTGTCGGCAGTTTCAGAAGGGGCTGCCCACAGAAGATTTTGACCAGAAGGAGACCGAGTTAAGTGCTGTGAAGTGTAGCCGTCGAGACATCGGCTTTCCATAGGGGGCCAATTGATAGAGACTTGATAGTCTGGGATATCAAGTCAAGTCTCACATTAAGTAGTATGGGATGCTCAATGGGATATATAAGAAGGTTGGTTCTCCCACTTCAACAATTAGCTTTTGAGATAGAGTTCCCTATCTCACTTAGATACCCATCATATTCTAATCAACATTTACATGATCCAACCACAAAACATAACCATCAACAAAGTAACAACAACTTAGCAAGCTGAAACACTGGGGTGCAACAAATAAAGATTTGATATAAATGGTTATTCAATTCACAGATGACTTCACAAAGTAAAATGGTTAGGCTTCTCTTGCATAAATAATTATCTCTTCCTACTTCAATGATGGAGCAATATGCTGTAGAGCTTGTCAAAATAATGGCAAGAGTTACAGAACGTAGATTCAGATACATACATTGGCAAATCAGAGTCATCCAACTCATCTCCAAAGTTTCCTCCGTTGTTTCCTTCATGCTTCACTACCTGTAGTTTGTCACCCTGCCTTTTCTTCCACTCTTCCATCCGGTCTTTCCAACGCACACTTCCATACCCGTATACTGCAAGATCTTTGTTTGGAGCCATAGGCCTGGGTTGCACTATAAAAACAGAAACATGAGGGTCACAAACTCACGGTATAAAACATACAACATGAAAGGTGGAAATGCAAAAGAAAACAATTTTATAAGACTTACAAGGAATAGATGGATCATTATAGGGCATGGGATGGACTCTATTTCCATGATTCATAAATGGGGGAACAATTAGAGCATGTCGATCAGAAGATATCTCAGAGCCCTATTAATTATCAGCAAAAAAATAGTGTCAAGTAGCAATTGTTATTACTGGTGTGCAAGAACACACACTTGGAAGAAAATGACAATGTTCCAAAAGGAGAACTTGCAAATTTACCTCCTCCCCATATGTCAAGAGAGGAATTTCAGAATTAAAAGTGGATTCATGTTGCAAATTCCCAGGGATTCCAGACGCGCTGAATTAGAACCACGACCTGCATATTCGGACACTGGATGTGGGCCCAGAAAATCAGGGTTCCCATAATCAAATTCATTGTCCAAGTCATCGATGTCATCCTCATCTTCATCACCTTCAACCCTTGGACTACCTGCAATTCATCCATTGGTTAAAGAACATTTACAATGGAAGTACACAAAAGCAATGAGAAAAACAACAACTACGGTTCCACCTTTGATGCGCTTGTATCTGGTTTTACACTGTGGACAAGCCTGATTACCCTCTCTTCTTTCATACTCATAGCAGGGCCGACAAACAGGGAAAGCACATTCATTACAAGCAACAAAGGGCTCCCCATCCACTGTAATCTCTATCTCATCCCCACAAATCTGACATATTTGTCCACTTAATTCTTGGACGGACTTAATCTGAACAGAAGACACCAATAAAGGAAAATGTTACGGTCACCTGACATTCAAATGCACAAATTCAAGTATAACGTTCCCAGAGGATACAGCATTGAGAAAATATACCTATTGAAAAATTTATGAATCTAAGTACTCCGTCAATTGCACAGATGCGCTCATTAGTAATTTCAATATGAATCAAAAGTAAACCATACATGACCATGAAATCTTCCCGATTCGTAGAAAAATAAAGTCAATTCTTCAACGCTTATCAATCAATTAATGTTTTAGGAAAATAAACATAATACCATAAAGGTTCGATCATTGTCGACCACATAACTCAGAAGGGTCAAAACCGTAACAGAATCAGTTAAAAGAGATGGACGTAAGCTATCCACAATGTCATATTAAAAGAAAATCTTAAAACACAGTTGACTGGATATCCTAGCTGCTAAAAGGGGGCACCCGTTCCCAACTATGACATGAATCAGAAGGTAACCAAAAAGCTTCATCAAAATATAAAATCATTTTTGGGATGCCATTTTCTTTGAAAAGTAGTGATAGGTATAAGGAGTACGAAGCAGAGCCCGAAATCACCATGAACCGTTACTGAATGAACCAAGGAAAAAAGGCAAATAATTATCGTTCATGACTAGGATCAGAAGAAAATTAATCAACAATCGCAAGGGGAAAAGACATGGAAACCTGACATGCTGCTTTCCAACCAAAAAAAAAAGATCAAAGACTGAAATGCAAATGGAAATCCCACATCCGCAGAGAAATTACAACAAAAGGCTCCAAGGCAGCTTACCCGTCCATTCTCATCTGCATTGATCAGGACGAACTCATTCCTGTTGTGAGAACCAGCGATGAGTCGACCTCCGGTGTGCATCACTGACAGCTCAGAGTCAACAAGTCTCAAGTCGTCAAATCAAGGCGCCAGAATTGGAAACCAGTATTCTTCTGAGACTACTCCCGCCTGTAACTCAGATCCGCTTTTGCATTGGAGGGGAAGGCCCAATAGAGCAAGCATCACAAGAAAGCCAAACCTCTCATAAAGAAAAGCTACAGGATCGAAAATAACAGTTTATCATTGAAGAGATACAGGAAAAAAACTCAGGAACTACGCTGCTATTTAGGATTCATTCACAAGCCAGGTCTCCAGTCTCCTTTGTTACCGGACTGGTCCTAATCTATGGCGAAATTGAGAAATAGAGAGGGGGGCGGAGGGGGCAGTCTGTACAAAGAGATGAGGGTTGAGTGTTTGGAAACGAAGACGCGTAAGAGAGAAGGAGAAACAAAAAAAGTAGGGGACAGAGACAGAGAGATCGAGAAATAATGAGAGGGATTAAAAAGGGGCATAGAATAAACAAAATACAGAAATTTTTCTCAATTGAGGTGGGTGGGGCCCAGATGACGGTGGTGGCGCTGGGCTATGCACCCATCGGAGTTTAGTGAGAAGTTACTTTTCCCTGCTCAGTATTAAAACTTGCAAAACGAAAATTGGGGATAATGTTTCGATGCCCAGAAAATTGAAACTGTCGGCGGCAAACTCTAAATAGTAGCTTTCCTGTCGTCTTCTCGAACTGACTGGAAATGTAGAAAACTGAATAGCGAGCGTCGAGTAACTCTGTTTTCCGCTGATTAGCAGAGAAACTGGAACTACGGTGGAATTGCAAAGATACGAAGAGAGAGAAGATAGTAAGCGCGAAGTTGGACCCGCTCACGCGGCGTATATCATGTCTTTCAGCTTTCGCTATTTTGTCTCTCTACACTGCAGTGGGCGAATACAGATCAGTAATTGCTCAATTTCATACTCTGATGCGGATTCGGTATATGCTTTCATCTTTCTTTTTTTTTTTTGTGTTGGTAAAACAATTTTTTTTCTTATTAGACGCTTAACGTTTTGCTCCCCTAAAAACGTTTTGCTCCCCTCATTCTGTTCAGTTGCTGTTTGTCGCCTGATCTCAGTTCTCACCATCAAATAAAAGTCAACGGTAATTAACTGTTTCCTCCCCTCATTCTTTCTTGCTTTTGATCCTTTCCCCTCCTTTTTGTATCGTCTGCTTAATTTTTTTGGCCAACCATATCGTCTGCTTAATGACTCTTTTATATTTACTGAGAAATTGAACGCATAGTCATATTTTGTGTCGTGAGACTGAGAATGTAGTATTTTTTTTGGGGTAAAAGTCGCAAGAATGTAAAAAATAATGACGCATTCTGTAAATAAAATTCAAATCAATCTTTTTTTCGTGATCCAATAAACGGGACTAGAAGAATATTGAAAATGAAAATGTGTCATTATGTTTATTTGTCAACGGTAGAATTTGGTTCGCACATGCTAAGGATGGTTGATGTTGTTTGACAAAGTACTAGTAATTAAGGAGAGCTTTTGTTCTCTCTTTTTTCTTCTTCTTTATTATTATTATTATTATTATTTTGGGAGCGAGTGATAAAAGAACTAGTTGTTACAGTTTGATAAAACAGCTAACATGAAGGGCAAAACCGGCTTTGGAAGATGAACAAGTATTATAACAGTGCGAGTGGGCTATGTCGTCCGATAAGACGAGAGTGTACAAAAAGTCAGTTTATTTTCTGGGGGGTTATGTATTAAGGCGATAGGAACGCTTCAACCGACAATAGATGGCGCTAAAGCCCGGTCAATTTTCAAAGAAAGTGAACTGTAGAAGAAAGTGTATGTTGAACAAGAAAAATGATGCCAGACTGTGGCATTAACAGTATATATCATTTTAGAATTTGATTTCTGAAGATATACATACACACATATATATATAAAACATATTTTAATAGAGGATGACTTCGTGAATGGTATTCAAATTTATTGGGGAGTTGATCCTACGCTTGGTGGCTATGGGGTACTTTGAATAAGAGAAGAAAAATGAAAAATGGGCATAATTCAACATCGCTTACATTATACACGGTATTCAATTTGGGAGGGGAGATTTGGACGCTAGGAAGAGAATAGAGTGGTTAGATCTGGAATTATTATTTTGCTGAAAGTATTGAACAGTTCGGGTCCACTGTTGTTGATTATGATCTCTGAATTATCCTATTCGCAATGTTTAACCAAATGACATGACCTGGCCAACCTCTCCATAATTATCACTACCTTTTTCTATTCCAGCTTCTGTTTTAAAGGAAAAAAGAAATTCATTTCCGGTGACATCATTAAAATAAAGCCGCTAATTTTTTTGGGTTGAGAACTGAGAAGGGGGAGGGAAATAAAACATGACATGCATTTGTTAGTTCAAACAGTGTAAGAATTACATTAATGTGAAAATATGAATAAGATTGAATAATATATTTATTTGGCCGAAACAGCAGTGAATGCGGTGCTGCATTTTGTGGACTTCAGATTTGTGCTTGTTTCATGGAGTAAATAATTAATATTAGCACGGAATAATGCGGGGCGACTCTGGTGCCACATGGGCATCCCGCTGTCGGTGGCGTTCTCTAGAATTCACCACTTTCAATATAATTTTGTGGCCATTGGAGCGAAGTCGTTTTCGTAATTTTATGAAAGCTCGCGCCTCCCGCAAGACACTCGTACGGACACCCAACATCATATGAGAATGCTGTAATGCAATATAGACCATGTCTATAGCATTAGCAACGAAGTATTGGCTAAAACAAACCAACTCGGGCATGGGGAAGCAGAGGAACGTGATATATTCCGAAACGAAGAAATAAGCGGGTGACAATGGATCACAGTTATATTACATTACAGAATAATAATTGAAACAGATTCAAGCGTGGAGGTGAAAGGCGAATATAATGATAAGGATGCTTTGAAAGAAGCTGGTGACAGAACACGAAGGAGCACTGAAATGGGTAAGAATTATTTTGATGGCCTGGCTAAATTAAATGCCTTTTTCCACAGGAGGAAGAGTGGGAGCGGGTTAATGTGTGAAGAATGAGAATTAAGAGGGAGTGAGAGGAATGGAGGGAATGGGAACATGACACGTCCAACACATGGGAAGCAGGGGGAGGGGCCGCCACCCAAGTTGACCAATAAACGACAAACTCCGCTTTTGCTTTACTTCCTCCCCAGCTCAGCTCCAGCTGTCTCTGTTCCCTCTCTCTCACATTCCACCAATCCTTACCCCTTCGCCAATCCCTTCACTTATAATTAATTATTCTGTATATAAAATATTTTTATTCTAATTTTTAAATATTAATAAAAATTTATTATTTAATAAAAATTATACTGATTTTTCAATCTTACTCTTAATAATATTATAAATTTAATAAAATACACAATTAATATCTCTTTCATTTTTTTAAAATAAAACAAAACTATTTGATTATTTAAAAATATCATGACTCTTCTCATACATAGAGATGAGATGATAGAGGTACTAGGTAGATAGAGAAATGTTCTATTTTACCTCTAATGTATTCCTCCCATTTTTATATACATATAATAAATAATTGTATCACATAATTTTAAAAAATTAATTAATTATAATAATTATATTTAAAAATAATTAAACTAAAATATCCTCCTATTTAATTAGAACAAGACTGCATCAATTGTTTTTGTGAATGAAAATTATGATTCTATGAGAGGTAATTCAAAAAAAAATCATAATAAATACTTATTGAGATATATAATTTAACTCATAAATAGAAACAAAACAACAAACAGTAATTTCTTTTATGCATAAAAATGGGGAGAGTATACCATTAATTTTTCCTTCTCATTCCATTAAAATTTGTAAGAAAAATATTTTTAAAAAATGTATATTTTCGTAGTATTGAAATTATATATTAAATTTTTATATATAATCAATAGATTTTAAGGTTTTCATCAATTTTAAAAAAATGATATTGAAATTGATTTATAAATAGAATTTAAGAAAATAAGTTATTACAAGGCATGGTCACGTTAAGATTTATTAGTAATTTTTACAAATTCTCCAATGACACAATGTGCCAACCAACTTCACATTAATTATTGTTTTTTAGCAGCATTATTGTTATTATTATCACGTTTAGAACTTGGAAGAAAGTGTCGGTGGCTCGGTGTCACTTACGACTCTCTCTTGTCTCTTGTCTTTTCAGGTTTCATAAAATATCTGAATATCTGAATTTGGGCGTCTTGCCTGTTGTGTCATGTGGGAAAGAAAGCACGATGGCATTAGCATATGTCCTCCGCCCTCATAGGATGCTCCATCCCGTCATAATTTGGACCTATTTATAAAATATATACATATATATATATATTTGAATTGTTTCTTATTAATAGACCCGAGACTGGCATATAATCGGATAAATTCTGATTCCTCTAAAACAGGCCCCCTCTCGCTGCATGTTAACACCATTCCCTTGATCCCTTCCTTATTTTACGTCCTCCCCTTCACATTAATTTATAAAAAAGAAAGGATACAGCTCAGATCTTTTTCTTATTTGATTCGGACATCTTACGAGATTGACTTGACCCTGTAAATATTCCTCATGCTCAAATGCCAACAGTTCTTGAAATGGGCGATGGGAGCATCACTGACACTTATGAATGATGATGAAGCATTCTCAGGCCAAAAAAAAAAAAAACAAAGAAAGAAAGAAAGAAAGAAAGAAAAAAGATGATGACGCATCCGCTTCAGAGTTACGGGAAATTATGTAGCAATATACGATGTACCGCATACGGATGACATACCGACACGAGATAGGCACCCTTGCCGGCAGCGACTAGGCGTCCCGCGCACAATCAAAATTATACAAATCATTGATAAAATTTATTAGTTCCGAGCTTCTCATGCATTCTATTGAATTTGAGGAATAATATTTAGTATATCTCTAAAATGGCACCGCTTCACGTACATTTTAAATTCTGTATTTTATATCATCAATTATTAATTAATTTTAAAATTAAAATTAGTTTAAATATTTTGAATAGAAACTTCAAATTATGAAATAAAAATTGCAATTCAAGGTTACTAAAAATTTAATAAATTATGCACGAGGTTAAAGTATTTACTAATTGTGCAGGTACAATGAACCTCCTCCCTAGTTTCAATCAAGACTATTACCTGTTTGTGAATATTATTAATCAGGCACAATCACTTCTTTATGAAAAATGAAATATTTAAGTTAACTGTATATTTAGAATAGTCAATTATTGTGCTCATTTTTTGACTAAGTTTACTTTAAATAGAATAGGTATGTTTCAATCTTTTGATCGACCACCACCTTTTTGTTTGAAGGTAGTGAATGATGACAAGAAAATTTCTTCTTAAGTTTTTTTCTTGTAAGCCTTTTCAGTTATTGTCTTCAAATATAATAAAAAAAATTCAATATCTTCTAATGTATTTAAAATTTTTAACAAAACTTTAAACAGTAACCTTTGCTCTTTCCATCTTTATATATAATGTATTTTTTAAAAATCTATTTTGTTTTTGAATATAAAGAGTATCATGATATTTTAAAGTAATTAAATAATTTTATCTCGTCTTAAAAAATTAATAAAATATTAATTGCATATTCTATCCACCATTATCATAATACTAATTGTGGCATCATTAAGGATAAAATTAAAAAAATATTGTAATTTTATATAATTTTAATTAAATAATAAATTTTTATTGAAACATAATTTAATTAAAAATATCTAACATCTTACATGCGGCAGCAAGTTGTCATTTCTGGATTGACACAACTGGATGGCGAGACAGTGCACTGATGTCAAGCCATATAACCACGCTTGAAGAAATTGATGCATTTACTGCTTACTAAGATGGTTTAATTAATAACCTAGTAATATTCGCCAGATACAATGATGCTGACAACAACTACCACTATTATTATGGTTACATATGCATAATTGCAATCAGCCAATCAATCAGTAAAAAGCATGAAAGCATTCTATGGATCTTTCGGGGCGAAAGTGACCACGTAATCCTTAAGTAATCATTATACTGATGTACTCCCTTGGTTTTTAATCGTTTGAGCAAATGACACTTTTTTAACTTATATCTTTTTTTAAAGTAAAATTATCCATTCTAATAAAAATTTATTAAATATTTTTAAATTATTCTCATAATTTATATTAATAATAAATAATTAATCTATATTTATGCTAACTAACACAATATTTTAATCTAATTTTTTATTTTTAAATATAATTATTATAGTTAATTGACTTTCTTAAACTGTACTCCCTCCATTTCTATATGCAAGGAAAAAAAAACTATGTCACAAAACTTAAAAAAATTGATTAATTATAATAATTATATTTAAAAAATAAAAATGTGAATTAAAATGTCTTATATTAATCAATATAAGTATAAATAAATTATTTTTTATTAATATAAATTATATTGAGTGATGCATTTTGAAATAGGTGACTTTACTTATAAAAAAATACAAGTCAAAAATGTTAATTTCTCTAACAATAAAAAATAAAAGGAGTATGATATAGTTTTTTTCATGATCAAAGGAAATACTTCCTTCGATCTCATTTATAAAATATATTTTAAAAAATTTATTTCATTATATTTATAAATCATGATATAACTTTTTAAATAATATTAAAAATATATTTTTAAAATTATCCTTTAAAAAAAAATAACATAATATTATTTTTTACATTTATTATATAAGAACATATTTAAAATTTTATACACTTTTATTCTTTTTATTTTTTTATATTAATATTGATAAGGTTAGTAAAAATAATATTAAAAAAAACAGGAAGAATATGTAACATGTTTATTATGAATATTTTAAACAAGAGAAGTGCAATTACATATCTAATCACTTATTTTGTTTTTATTTATAACTAAAATCATATATCTCAATGAACATTTATTAAAAAAATTTTAAATTACGTCTCATAAACTTATAATTTTTATTCACAAGAAATAATTAATGTAATCTTATTTTAATTAAATACGAGGACCATTTAATCTATTTTTTTATTTTCCAACATAAATATTATATTAATAGATTTTCTTAAATTGTAAAATACAGTCATACAGTTATTGTCTTTTATATATAGAAGTGAATGAAGTAAACTTCAAACTAAAAATAAGTAGAAAAAGGGGGCAACGCTAAAAAAAATTAATTTAGAAACAAACCAACCAGGCGCTCTCCACCCAGAAAATAAAACAAAAATAAAAAAGACAAGATCATGACCCATGGCTGCTAGTCCAGTCAAATGCTTTGCAGCCTTAACGAATCTACGACACGGGATTGCAGCTTATGGGTTGTCATTTTTCATTTCCTGAATACCCAGATAATCCTCACTTGCCCAATCCATTTGTAAGAAAAAAATAAGCAACAGAGTATCTGCGGACTTCGAAAAGGATTGGACGTGGATTAGCCATTCCCTCGCTCACAATGAGAACCGCGTGGACACAACTTGTATTTTGTCCTCATGACTTCCAAACACGTATGTAGCCATCCACAGAAGAACTTATCATACAGTTTTCTTTTGGGTGATAACTCACGCTTGTTACCTGCCAGAAGATACAGACAGAGCTACCATCACAGACCGATCTTCTTAAGATGCAATAAAAAAAATTATGAACTGAAGTGACTAGCCAAGACACATCTAAAGCCGATATTCTTCGATACATCTAACAAGATTATAAACTGTTTAGTTTGATAATCCATAGCCGATTTTTATACACACATGCTGTTGTCCAATATCCAGTCAAAAGATAAATCTAAATCCAATCATCAATTACTCTTGCAGGAGATCTTGGACTAAGAACCATCTTATTATTTCAATTATTAAATCAAATGTTGGATAACAGTTTTGATGCAGTGGCTACAGCACCATGTAGAAAAGTTGGCTTAAACCCCATACTGCATGGTAAATCAAACAATTATTATGGACAAACATAGAACAACAGGACAACAGCTTATCGAACCACCAGCAAGAGGAAATGGAATGTTTATTACTATTGGAACAAAAGGAGGAATTAATTCTTTCAAAAGGCCATACTTATCCTCTAAGCATTATCTCAACACAATTTTCTTCAGGCACGCAAAAGGCAGTCGAAGACTTTACCACTGAGGTGTGAGCTCTGAATCTTGACACAACTGATGCATCTACAAGATCCCAAAAATAGATGAAGCCATCCTCAGAGCCACCGGTCACATGGGCATCCGTATTGGTAAGGCAGCAATCCAATTTATAAGACTGAGAACAATTCAACATAAATGACAATATTCCATAAAATGATTCAGACCAAGGACACAGAATACTCACAAGTCAAAACACACAGAAAATAACTTATTTTCTTTTTTTGGGTGGACAATCAAACAGGAAAAAGCTTTAAGATTGTACAAGTCATTGGATTGTACTCCACTGATGCACATATATGACAGTGATCCTTGACTTGTAGTCCACAAATATGAGAATGTATTTATCTGAACAAACTAAATTGCATGTGGTTGGGCAATGCTATACAGAACATCAGAAAGTGCAAAAGGGTGACTAAAGACATACCTTACAAGTATGGCCTTTGTATTGTTGCAATAGTTCACCTGTCGTTCTATCATAAGAAAGGACAGTAAAATTAATAAAAGTAAAAAAACTATCGTAAGTTTCTGTCCATGATAGATTAATACCTGTCCAAAAGTCGAAGAGTGGAATCTAAACAACTGGCTAGTATGCAATTACCATCATTTGACATTGAAATACAGTTGACAGGTTGCCCCAAATCATCAGATGTTTCTCTAGTTAACATGAAGGAAAGCATTAGTAGTTTCATAAGTTGAACATATCATAGCGCAACAATAAGCATGTGCTTAAATTTAGAATATCATCAAATGAGCATTACTCAATGAGTTTCTGAAAACAACTTATAAGCATAATCTATCGTGTTGTGATCTGGTCTAACCACATACCTGCCAACACGGATGTCAAATGTTCGAACAGTTCCATCAACACTACCACCGATAATTTCAGTTTTTGTCAAACAAACAGACATAACACTATCTGAAAATGTGTCGATAATCTGCCCAGCAACAGTAATTCTTGATTGACGCAAGTACAAAGGAAATGAGTGACTTGGACCATATTGGTCATCATGTTAAGGTAAAAGGGATAAGAAAGAAACTGGCAAGTGCACCTGAATTGGCTCAGTGCTGTGGGATCTGCAGTCCCAAGCACGCAATGATTGATCATAGCCAGCCGAAACTACAACAGATGCATGCTCATTGAACCTTACAGCATTTACCTAAATAATAATAAATGATCAATCAGAAACAAAGTGACAAAGTGGTGAGCGTGAGTAGAAAACGCCTGGGTCACATAAGAAAAAGGAACAACCATACCTCACCATCATGACCCCGAAATTTTCGAATTACACGTCCAGTTGCCACATCCCAGTAAAAGATCTGTCGATCTCCACCGCAGGAACATAACTTGGAGTTGTCCCTGTGGTAAATGACGATGTAAGAACCCGACCCAGACAATGGAGCGACAAGTAACGAAAAATCGATCGCATGCAATCTGCATTTACGCTTTCAATTTTCTCCCGTCTCACCTAATGAAGAGCTATATACATACATGACCTTTAGGAAAATCTTTAGAATGCATAAAAGTATGACAGCAGGACCAGGGCTCCCCGGGTATTGCACTAGCGAACCTCTATGACAAGCACTCCCAAGAAAAGCAAAATTTAAAGGATCATTTCATTTCTTCGATTTGAACATACCCGTGTATAGATCCTAAATCCTAACATTCATAACTCCCCTGTGCTTATTCAAAAGATTTTCTGTTCCAAACTGCTGTATTCAATGATAGGGCTGGTTTTCAGGCCAGTTAAGGTACCCAATACTACCAATTCGACTATCAGAGAGAAGAGAACAGATTCATCCTAGAGCAGATATAAAGGGAGAACGGGAAGAAGACAGTACAAGGTGACGTGGACATCGCGGACTTCACGGCCGTGGGATTTGTAGGTCTTGATATGAATACCACGGTGAGGATTCCAGAGACGGATGGTACGGTCTTTGCCGCAACTTAGGCAATAATTACCGTCGCTGTTGAATCTCGCAGCCAGTACGGCGCCCTCATGCCCTTTCAGTACATTAACCTCCTTCCGCGGCAGATCCGCAACACCCATTTTTCGCTCCGTTAAAGGACCAAGCGCAGGAAGGGTTAAAGGCTGAAGTGTCCTGAAGTGAAAAGCTTTCGCCCGTTAGATCTGACGAACGAACCACATTCTTCCTCGCCGTCTGTCTCTTCCCACTGAATGCAGACTCTTCTCAGGTCTCCGGGTGAAATTTAAAAAATAATAATAATAACAAAATATATTTTTTTTACCAGAAAAAAATATATATATTACGCTGCATAAAATTATTGAATTAGGCTTTGCAAAATTTTGCCATACTCTTTCTTTAATTTTATTAATATTTTTGGGTGCTGATTTTTCCGAAACAAACAAATGGATTTTCCCTGCCAAGCGGGGCAGTAGACAACTAATTCAGCATATCGTGCGATCTATTGTGTGTCTTCAATGATTGACAAGGGATTTTATCAATGGAGAATATTTTAGAAGGTCGATTTGCAGAGTTTAAAACTAAGTTTCTCTACATTGTAAGGTTATGGGCAACCCTTATAAATGACCTCAGCGATCTGCGCATTTAGTGCCTCGCATCGCTTCACTCGCGGTCCTCTGTTCTCATTCTCCTCACTCTCGAAAACGTCGTCATATACAAACTACGCAAATCCCGTCTACAGCTCGCCCAGGCATATCGTTTTCACACCTCGTAAAAAGCACTAAACCAATTACCAACAATTTTGATGCTTTCACAAGCCGCAGTCTTAGCCAATGATAATACTGCTTATTCAGATTTACAAATCTACGCACTTGATGGTGTAGCCACGAGCCTTCCCTATGAGGAATACCCAGTCGAAACCGTCAGTGGAAACAGAACAGAATATCAATAGATGTTGACAAAACAGACGAGGAGCACATACTCCCAGTCTCCAGGGTTTTGGACAAGAACCATACTTCAACACAGGACTACTCGCTTGAGATTCTTAAGATCCCTCACTTCAAGGAGGGGAAATATTTATCATTCAATGATCTTATAAAAATACAAAGAAACCGGGAAAAAAGAAAAGAAAAGAATGACACTTAACCCCCACCCCCCAACGGAAATGTAATCAAAGAATAAATGGAAAACCCGCAATTGTAGGTAACAATGTGTCAGCCTTCAATCCCCTTCCTCTTTATCTACAAACCACAAAAATACTTGCATCCAAAAATTCGTGCAACATCACCACGCGTGCTGTATCTGGTGAAATTCCTTCTTCCACCAAGCAAGGCAACCAGGAGTAGTCTAGCTGAACCACAATTTCAGCCGTTTATTCATGACTGGTCACAATTCAAACCACAAATTTCTAACACAGGTCCATCTTTCGAAACAAAAGGGTTGATTCGAACCCACATGAGAGTTAAGATGGAAGCCAGCAGGATTGACCAGACCAATACGATGGTCGGCATACGATCTTGCTTTCCAAGTAACCCCTTCAGGAACGGGTAAAGATGGATGATGACCCAGAGGGCAAAGAATAACCTACCAAAGAGAGGACCCCATGAGTCATACCCATTGTTTATGGCATCTGAGACACCGACCACAACCCCAACAATGTTGATGATCAATAAGGTAGTTGGAGGAATTAATAGTGAAGTCCACTTGAAGATGTAGAGCTCTGAAAACTCTCCATCATCAGCAGCTTTCGAGGTGACAGTGAAATTTGTGTCCACACCAGCCAAAACCTTCAGTAAACCCTGGAAAAGGGCAAAAAGATGAGAAGAAACACCTCCAATAACCCAGAATTGCTCATTTCTCCACCAATCATCTATACCGACACCACCCCACTGCATCTCAAGAATACCAGTTGCTGCAATGGATATGAAGAGGGCCATGAAGATAAGACTGGCGTAGTTGCTAATCTGCAGGTTAAGAGAGATAAAAACAGCAATTAGTAACCATGTGCACCCCTTTAGCTTCTTAGGCCATAAAAGCTTGAAAGCATTTGATAAATTTTACGACAGAATTGAAAAATAGGAAATAATGAATATGAAGCACACCTCAGGCACTATAAATTTTCCGGTCAAAAGGCATATAGCTGGTAGGGTACAGTAAACCAGCAATGGAAGGGAAGTCCATGGATATACGACAGAATTAATATAAGAAAATCGCTCCAACCAGTTTAACCCACCACCGTAGCCATACCAGATTGGGCAATGTTTGCTCAAGAATATCTCAACTGAACCAAGAGCCCATCGAAGAACCTGGTGTAGACGATCTGAAAGGTTGATTGGAGCTGATCCCTTAAATGCAGGCCGCTTAGGGATGCAATAAACAGATCTCCAACCATGGCAATGCATTTTAAATCCAGTCAATATATCCTCTGTAACAGAACCGTATATCCAACCAACCTGATGATGCATCAGAAAATTTTAGGAACTAGAAAGTTGGCTGAGTAAAAATAGCACGCACACACACTCTCTCTCTTTTGAGCATACCTCTTTCCCCCACTCAGTTTTGTCTTCATAACCACAGCTGATGACTTGGATAGCTTCTTTTAAAAGAGATGCATGACTCAAATTTGGTGGAAGTCCACCGTGTTCCAGAAGTGTCGAAGCCACAAACACAGGAGACTGCCCAAATCTCTTCTCCAACTTCATTTGAGTGAGATCGGATGACCTCTCCTCCTTAACCCCTGCAAAAGAAACTCCATTAGCATCTCAGAATTTTGTACCACATGCATGTTTTGATTGCAAGGACAGCCCTCATAATGATAAATATTAACCTTCAGTTCCCTCAATATTTTCGAGCGCATGAATCTGCTTTGATGCATCCCCAAGCTTCACCCTCTTCTTTGTCTTCGTTTTGGACTTTCCGTTCTTTTTCTTTCTAAAACAGAAGCAAAGGCAGCAGCACCACTTTGGCCAACAGTTGCAGGTTTTGCTAGGGCGCTTCTTCTTGGCAGGTGCATCATATCCATAAAGTGCTTGCCTCCTGAAAACACACCCAGTTCCAACATAAATTGGTCCTTGCAAGCCATCCAATCCTTTCATGTTGATCTGTTTTCAATTCAAAAATTAGTTATTTCCTTAATAAATAGGTAAAAATAAACAAATAAATAATGAAACAAGCAATGCAACAACTTACATCAAAAAATACAACATTTCTATTTGAGTATCTATCATGGCGATCAATTCCATCAAATCTTTGAGGGAATTGCACATAGCATACTTTTTTCCCAGATTGAGGATCCATCATAAAACACATAGCTTCTCTAAGCGCCTTGCTATTGTTAATGTAGTGATCACAATCGACATTCAGAAGATAAGGTGCATTTGAGAGAATCGCTGACACTCGTACCTTCACATATTGTAATTACAAAAGCATGTCATCCAAGGTACTAGATCTCAGCAGCATCTAGTCAAAAATGAAAACAGTTTGATACATACCAAAGCATTCATAGCCCCAGCCTTTTTGTGGTGATCAAATCCTGGTCTCTTTTCTCGAGATACATAAATTAAGCGAGGCAACTCATTTCCTTCAACATCAGGAACACCATCCTGACCAAGGAATACCTGTTAAGAAGAAAATAAAAATATAACGTTAGTTTCACGTCTAGCTTCTGATACAGCATGGCAATGAGAATTCAAATACTCAGTGTGAAGATTTCTTATGCAAGTCTGATTGCAAGTCATCCTTGCTGAATAAAAAATTGGAAGTGAGTAAGCACTTCTAAGCAAGTGATTTCATTAGGAAAACACGGACCCTACTGATTACTAGAACTCCCTTACAATATACATGAAGACAAAAACTACAATAACTACTAGATGCAGCATAATCCATGAAACAAAACGGTGATCAACAAATTGCCAGGGGCCAAAAATTTAAAAAAAAACCATTATATTAAATAAACAAGATTACATTAGTTAAAGCGATACATAGCATCACCTGAATCATGCCAGGATGATCTCTAACGTTGTTTCCAGGCCATGGAGTCCCATCCTGCATGGTCCATCCATCCTCAGGAACCTTCTGCGCTGTTGCCACCAAGCTGTTAATCCTCACCTTGAATTCTTCATAATCCCTCTACAACACATGGAAAAACACAATCATGAGTCGAAATGTTTCATATTATTTGGAAAAAATTAAGCGTAAGAAGCTGTTTATTTAAAAATAAGAGTAGAAAGTTTCACACCTTCATTGCCCTCCTTTCCCTGACAAATGCTGGATGTACTTTGTTTTTCAGATAGTCAATCTTCTGACTAAAATACCATTCTGGGGCCCGGGGCTCAATATTGTATTTCTTACAAAAGGGGACCCATTTTCTAGCAAATTCAGATGTCTCGGAAAGTGCTTCAAAAGTGAGCATGGCAGCACCATCATCAGAGACATAGCAAGCAACTTTATCGACTGGATAATCAACAGCAAGGATGGAAAGCACAGTGTTTGCGGTTATTAGTGGAGGTTCTTTTGAGGGATCGACGGTACTGACGAACACATCCACACTGGATAACTCAGAAGGCTTCCCTTCTTTTTCATACCTGCACCCATATGAGAAGTCAATGCACAGAGAGAGAGAGAGAGCTCCGATTGAGCATGAAAAAGAACGGCTTACGCAAGGCATGCTAGTGACAAGATGTAGATACAGATGAGGAAACAGAATGCACTAGCCATGGTCAAAGCAATTACCTAAGTGATAGCCGATCAAGGTATGTTTCTCGCTTTATTGGGTACCACTTTGGAAACTGATCCATAATCCAGGATACAGCAAACCATATTTCACATATGACGGATGTCAACCACAGGGCATATGCGTCGTTAACTGGATGGAGAATTCTATAATGGAAAAAAAGCCCAAGAATTATAAGGCGGGTTATTATGATCATTCTGTATGGATTTATCTTGCTTGAAGGGATTGGAAGCTTCCGTGACAGTGGCTGCCTGCCTTCATCCATCCTGATAAAATACATTGTGAAAATCTTCTTAACAGACAAATAAACAAAATGACAGGAACAGATAGCAGGGAATTAGAAAAATAACATAATTCTAATTCTAATGAACATTTACATGATCCAACAAAACACAATGACCTAATCTCTCACAAAAGTAATAACAAATTTGAGAGCTAAAACACTGGCAAGCAACAACTTAAGATAGGCTGTAAAGAGATAGTCAACACATAAAAAATATCTTGAGGTAAAATGGTCAGGCTTTTTTTACGATAGAGAGGCGAACATCAGTTTCAATATAATGTATAAAAATAAAGTTGAGGAAAACAGAATGTTGATGCAGAACCATACATAGGCAGATCAGAGTCATCCAAGGCATCACCAAAGTTTCCACCATTATGCCCTTCATGCTTCACCACCTGAAGTTTGTCACCCTGCCTTTTCTTCCACTCTTCCATCCGGTCTTTCCAATGTACACTTCCATACCCATACACTGCAAGGTCCTTGTTGGGAGCCAAAGGCCTGGGTTGCACTATAACAGAAACAACAAGGTCACCAAGTAATGATATAAACAGACAACATGAAATGTAGATATGCAAAATCAAACAATCTTTAAGACTTACAAGGAACGGATGGATCATTATAGGGCATGGGATGGACTCTATTTCCATGATTCATGTATGGTGGAACAATTAGAGCATGCTGATCAGAAGATATCTCAGAAACCTACCGAAAAATGATCCATGTAGCATTTGTCATTACCAGTGTGCATAAGGACATACATGGAAAAACAAAATATTTCAACTCAACTTGCAGATTTACCTCTTCCCCATACGTCAAGAGAGGAAATTCAGAATTGAGGGAGGATGCATGATCCAAATTTGCTGGGATTCCAGAGGCATTATTAGAATTACAACCACGACCAGTGTGAAGGCATCCATCTGACATTAGGTGTGGGCCCAAGGAATCAGGGTCCCCATAATCAAATTCGTTGTCCAAGTCATCAATGTCATCCTCATCCTCATCACCCTCAACCCTTGGACTACCTGCAGTGCATTCATGAGTAAAAGAAAATTCATAACAGAAGCAGCTAGAAAAGTCAGAGAAATAAGGCAAATACAATCTCACCTTTGATGCGTTTGTATCTGGTTTTACACTGTGGACATGCCTGATTTCCCTCCCTTCTCTCATACTCATAGCAAGGACGACAAACAGGGAAAGCACATTCATTGCAAGCAACAAACGGTTCCCCATCAACCGTAATTTCTATCTCATCCCCGCAAATCTGACATATTTGTCCACTTAATTCTTGGACAGACCTAATCTGCAAAGTTAAAAAAAAAATGAAAAAGGTCAACGTTACAGGCACCTGATATTCAAAAGCACAAATTCAATTATGTTCAATGAAATAACACGACAAAGGAATGCTAAATTAAAAACAATATATGGCCATCATAAAAATTATGAATCTAAAGGCTTCATCAGTTGCATAGTTGAGCATGGTAGGAAGACTGGAAGACAAAAACAACTCCATACTCAGCAGTGATTTCAATGGAATAAAAATCAAATCATACATGACCGTCAAGTCTTCCGAATTCCTGGCAAAACAACAGTAATTATCCAAGCTTATCAATTAACTAATCTTTCATATACGCAGGGGCAATAAACATCATCGCGTAAATGTTCCATCATGCTCGACCACATAATCAAGATGGGCCAAAACCGCACTACAGTCAGGTAAAAGATGGCCCCGAAGCTATCCACAATGAGCCATTAAGAAAACTTCAAATACAAAACAGACTTGAATTGAATAAGGTGGCCCCTGGGCATTAAAAAGAAGCAACCCTTGTCAACTATAACGTGAACAAGGTAAGCAGAAAACTTGATCATAAGACAACATTATTGCCGGGATGACGTTTTAATTTAAAAGTAATAAAAGGCAAAAAGGCACCAAAGAGAAGACAAGATGACCATGGAACAGTACTGAACCCAGAAATAAAATCAGAAGGTAAAAAATTTTCCTTGGTGAAGACATCAGACGAATAAACACACAACAATTGGGAGGGGGTGAAAACCCTTAAAACCCTAATATAATGTTTTCCAACAAACTAAAGGTACAATTCTTGGATGCAAATGGGCATCCCAACATCGGCAGAGAAATCACAATGAAGGGTTCCAAGACAACTTACCCGCCCATTCTCATCTGCATTGATCAGGACGAACTCATTCCTGTTGTGAGAACCAGCGATGAGTCGTCCTCCGGTATGCATCACAAACGAGTCAGAGTAAACAAGTCCCAAGTCCCCAAATCAAGAAGCCCCAGCTCAAAACAAATGTTCTTCTGAGACTGCTACGACTAGTCACTCAGATCCGCTTTCGCATTGGAGAAGAAGGCCCAGAACAGCAAGCATCACAAGAAAGCCAAACCTCTCGTAAAGAAAAGCAACAGGATCGAAAATGACTTTAGCATTGAAGAGATAGCAGAAAAAAGTCTGGAGGCGCGCTGCTATTTTGATTCTTTCAGAAGCTAAGTCTCCGCTGTGACCAGGCTGGTCCTAACTCCTAATCTACGGCGAAATTGAGAGAGAGAAAGAGAAGGGGGAAGGGAGGCAGTAAGTACAAAGAGATGAGGGTTGGGGGCGTGTGTGGAGATGAAGACGCGTAAGAGAGGAGATGCGAAGAAAGGAGGGGACAAAGACAGAGAGATCGAGAAATAATGAGAGAGATTTAAAAAAAAAAAAATCAGCGAATTTCTTAACTGAGGTGGTGGGGCCCAGGGGATGGCGGTGGCGCTGAGCTGTGCACCCACCGGATGCCGGTGACAAGAACTAATAAAACTTTCAGCGCTCGGGCATTAAATCTTGAAGAAAGAAACTTGGGGCACTTTTCTAAGCCCGGAAAATGTGAACTTTCGTCGGCATAATCCGGACAGTAGCATTTATACCGTCTTCTTGATTTGCTTGAAAATAAAGAAAACCTTGTCTTATCTACTCAAGAAACTCTGTCACTCGCCTCTTAAGACTCCGCCGAATCGGAGAGGTACGATAGAGAGGGAAGATATGAAGTGAGGACTGAGGAGTTGGATTGGATCTGCTCGCGTGGCGGAGATTATTCTTTGTTTCTTTTAACTCTTTCATTATTTTCTCTCTGCACGCTGTGCTGAATGAATGCCCATGTGTCAAGTATTTGTGGGTATTACACATTTACACTCAACATGTGTTCCTTTCATTTTTTTTTCCGCCATCAATCAAATAAAATTCATTAATTAGTGCCTGTTGTTTTCTTGTTTGCCACGAATCCTTTGTTTGATTAGTGATGTTTTAGCAGGGAATAATAATTTTTACTAGGTGCTGGTTATAAGAAATTGAGTGCATTATCGCATTTTGTGATTTATCTTAAGTTGCCATTACCGATCTGACATTTATTTATTTGTAACTTTGTTTACCTATAAAATTCAGAGTCCCAGAGACGTTATACACATTCCGACAATTTATAAAAAAAAAAAAAAGAGCCTGTTGATGTTATGCACATTAGCCACAATTTTTTACATGTAATCGGTATTATCCATATCAATACAATAGAGTGTACACTTGAAGTTTTTTTTAGCAAAAATCAAAACAAGTATCCATCCATTTGAAATTATAAGTTATATTTTTGATAAAATTTGACATTTCAAAATATAATACACTTTGATAAAAATAAAATTTTATTAATTATGCTATTTTAATATCATCATTTTTATTATATTTTTTTTAATAATCTTTTATGAATTGAATATTAAACGAAAAAATTTTTAAATGTTTATATTTTTATTTAAAAAAATAAAATTGTAAAGTGTATTTAAAATTTTTTATCAGGAATTAAATTAGGAATAGGGGACAAAACTGTAAGGGGGCATAATACCAGGCACCAGCTGCACACGGTGAGACAAGAGTATATACTCAAACTCGGACGCTTGGATTGGAATAACTTGAAAGAGATACTTGTACCGTCCGCCCACCAAAAAAGAAAAAACATAAAAGAATCTAACTCGTGCAGGAGGAAATGTCATGAATGCTTCAACCCACAGTATAAGATGCTCAAAATTAAAAAACTTTAAGCAAAATAGGAATTTATAATTATAAGTGGCAGAAGAAATTGGCATGACACAATTTAGTATCCGCGCTGTTTAACTTGACCAATATTTGGGAGTGGGAAAGAATATCGAGGAGCTCGGGTCCACTCTTTGTTGGTTATGAGCCGAGTTATTGCTTAACCAAACGGCGTGAGCTGGCCAACCTCTCCATAAATTGTTACATCACTCATTCTCACTGTGGCTTGCTCCTCTTGTTTTTTTTTTTTTTTCAAGACATGGTATGCCAGTCTGATCGCAGCACTCTCCTGTTTCTTTACGTTGTTTTTTTTTTTTGGGTGAATTTAAGTAAGAGTCCCTGTTTGTCTTCGAGTCTGGAGCGAAGCATGGAGGGGAGGAAGATAAAAATCTCACATTCACATGCTGTTATTCGGACCAAAAATGTTTAATCGTTATAAATAGTTGGCAGAACCAATAATGAATGTGCTGCTACTTTTTGTGGACCATAGATTTCTGGGTTTTTTTATTAATAGAATAATGCATGTGAATTTCGCGCCACATGGGCACCCCGCTGTCGGTGGCAATACTGGATTCAACTTTTTTTCCTGCAATTTGCAACAATTTTTTTCCCTTTCTTTTTTTCTTCTTTTTTGCCGGAACGAAGGGGGTCGTTTTTTGCTATTTTGTGAAAGGTGTCCATTGCGCCTGGGAAACAACTGTCATCGTGATTTGCCTTTGATTGCATCCTATAATTATCCAATAATTACCGACTTTTTTTCCAATTAAAATAGCAGAGTCAGGCATTGCATATAAATATTTTCACGCGCCGTCTATTCAACTGAGATAACTAAAAAATGTGCTCTCCAAATCTTGTTATGCGATGTTTTCAACATTTTCGCACATCTTTTAAAAAGTTATCACATCATTACGTTTGTCGGAAAAAAATTTATAAGAATCTAATTTCAACTCCATTAATTATGACGATGTACGGAGGATAAATTACAAAACCTTATTTTACAATTTCGGAGATCACTATTAAGAGTGGAGGCAAAATGAGAGATCATTATATATTGTTATCCTCACATGTGCCTTGTGATTTGGACTACCAAAAAAAAAAAAATCTAAAAGGCACGACGAGAGGGAGTAGTTCTTTTCTAGAAACGAAGGGAGTAAAAAAAAAAAAAGAAAAGGAAAAGTGCAGTAAATGTGCAATGTGGTACGGCCTTCAACTGAAACATGATGGACAGCGCGTATTGGTTGATGAGACGTGGTGCTTGACTGGACTGGCCCTGTCCGAGTCCAACACGGGATTAGACAACTGTGGGGAAGCAAAGGAAAGAGAATTGAAAAAAAGAAAGCAGAAGGCAAAATGAGAAAAGTAAATGAATGGAAGGCCAAGGACGCGAAAATGCTGTGCTTGTTAGTGGGATGTTGGTGAATGATGGGTCCGGAAGGACAAGCTCCAACCTGCATCCAAAATTGAGCCTCAGCGATATGCCATCTGGCACGTACTTGTAAGAGTAACCTCCCTTTGCTAAAGTCTCAGCCCAAACTAGTAAGCATTTTAAAAGATTCGCTCATGTTGGCATTCATGAGATCATTACACGGCCCTTCGTATTTTAAAATTAAAATTACCGCCGGAAGGGCTTCAAAAGGCGTCCCATCAGCAAGTCGGGTTCCTTTGTCGGTCAGCCTTGGTATCATGAAAAAATGTAATTAAAAATGTAAATTGTAGGAGCCCCGCATGATGGGTTCAAGTGATATGAATTTACTAGTTTCCGCGACAATATATTTTTCACTTTTTTTATAAGTTATTTCTAATTAATTTATTAAAATTATTAATATAAATTAGTTAGAATAATAAAATTATCTTAAAATCGTATCATTTTATTACTGGATTTAATAAAAAATAATTTGAGATCTTGAAAATTAAAACATGGTATTTTTTTAGGATTTGGTGAATGGCAGTTTAGACATTTTATATCAAAAGATTATAAAAATAATAAAATTTAGAATGTGATTCATGGGGGGAAAAAGGGGGAGGAAGTAGTGGCAATTGATGGGAATCGGTGAGGGCAGATGGAGGGAGGAGAGGAGAGGAAAGAGAAGTGATGTGATGGTGACAGGGAGGAGCTGAGATGGAAGACTTTGAGAAAAAGACAGAGTTGAATGGCGAGGCTGCCCCCACTTCCCTGCCAGCTTTTGCCAGTTCACTCCCGCCTTTTTTTTTTGTTTTTTTAACGCTCTTCATTCCGCTCACTTTCTATTTTTAATGGCCCTGCAATCTGTTTCCCTCCAACACTTCACATATGACTCCTATTCGCTTCATCTATTTTCTAATAATGGCATGGCCTGCACATGATATATACGAGCACACCAGTACTTTGTTGTGTATGCTCGGCCTTGTATCTTTCAAGGCATAACAACTAAATTCAAATTATTTTAGATTCATCAACATTTTTATTTTGATGGCACGATGCACAGAATAGCTCCAGCGTCATATATAATTATATATTGAATATACACACACTCGCTCGTTTATATACTTGGTGAATTGACGAAGAAAAATATGAGTAAAACATTTTATTATTATTATTATTATTATTTCTTTCTTTTGTAGGGGTGGTTCGGTTTAAAAGGTGAAAGAAAGTGTCGGTGGCCGGGTGTGAGCTCCGTATTGGTGTCTTGTCGCCCATCTTTTTTGTCTTTTTATGTTTCTTTTCTTTTCTTCTCTTTTCTTTCTTGCCAAGTCTTTTTATGCTTCATGAAATATGTGACTTTGAGTTGCCTTGCTTTTCTTTTGATGCCGTGTGGTGTGCTATTCAAGTATTTATTGCCCCTTTCCTTTTTTTCCTTTTAATAGTAATAAAAATTAATTATTTAATTTTTAATTTGTTCAATTTTAATTCAACCGTAATGCAATATTTAAAATTTAATTCATTATAATTCAAATCCTAAACTTTGTCATTTATAATTTAATTTTTAAAATTTTAACCTCTTAAATATTAATTTTTATATTTTAAAAAATAAAATATTAAATATTTAAATAATTTAAAATTCATTACTTATATTTTAAATTATTAAATTCATTTAATTTTTATAAATATTAAATATTTAAAATATTTTTAATATTTATAATACTCCATCTGTTCAAAAATATAAGACATTTTTAACTGAATCTCATCCCAATAAAATAATTATCTACTTTTTAACTAACATTATCTTTCCACATTTACCCCTATTAAATACCTTATAATAAATATAAATTCATTATTAATATGAGCACTTTAAAAAAAAAGCACTGATTGTATCTTAAAAGAATAAAAATGCCTCACATTTTTTAACACTCAACTCCTCAAAAAATGCCTTACATATTTTAATAAAGAGAGTATTATTTTTTAAAGTACAGGAATAAATATTTAAGAGATAAAACTTTGAGGATTAAATTGTAAGAGGTAAAATTTAAGGACCGGTTTACAACTGAGTCAAAATTTTAGGAATTGAGTTATAATAATTCAAAGTTTAAAAATTGAGTCACAATTAAAAGAATTAAAGGATTAATATTCTCAACAACAACATATACATGACGGCTGCCCCATAGTGGAAACTTATTTCTCCTCCAAATCTCCCTTTCTATTATTTCCACATTTAACAGTGCCTATGTTGAAACGAAATATCACTCCAAAGACAAAATTGTGTTGAGAGGAAATATCGTCTATGATGAATCCAGTTGCTTTCGAAGGGCACTTTAGGAGACTACCCTCAAAATCCATCTGTTCTCTAAAGGTGCGGGTCAATCGAGACTTCTTCCTGTGGTGGTCTAGACAGCATAATAGAGATGTTCTTTAGCGTCTCCTTCAAAGTTCGCAACAGAGCTCTTTGCCTCTCGTTAGCTCGTACTTCACGTTCTGCGTGTGTAGCCATGTTCTCTGAATCCTAAGACTCAAATATGTTCTTTTCAATAATATATTAACCTTATGTATCCTAGGCATTTCTTTCACATGAGTCTCACCAGGCGTGTCAAAAATTATTCGTAAAAAACAATCAATTAAAGCGTGGTGTCGCGAGACATGCTAGAGACGCAAAGTTTCACAAGGATGAAAGAACCAAACTTATAATCAAATGCGGGGAACCCGAGCTCTCTTATCACAGTTCACTCAAATGTGAGAATGCAAAGTGAAGAATACTAATGTAAATGAAGAAAAGCATATATGCATTAATTAAAGAAAAAAGGTGGTAGGCTATGTCGGCTGCACAATAAAAAATAAAGACTAAAATTACATGATAGACAGGAAAATAAAGTAACAGACGCAGAAATTGAGACTAATAGTTTGTTGATGTTGATGATGACTGTTAAGAGAGAGTTGTTCTATTTATAGATGATCTTGACTTAATGCCCAGACCCCATGATTGCCACTTTTCTTGAATTTATGAAGCACTTCCTCCATTATGTTCACTCATCATGGGTGATGGTCTTGACTTAATGATTAAGACTTCATAAATATTTTTTTTTATATAATTATTTTAAAATTAACCTCTATATTCATAATTTAGGTGCAAACAATAATGTTCGCAAAATACAATCATGATGATGATAATCACAAATTCACAACCACCACTACCGTGTATTATTCTTGTGTTTATAATTGGAACCCATCTTTACAGAGGAGATCTTGGGTGTGTTTGGATTTCAATTAAAAAAAATTAATTATAAAAAAAATTGATTATTAAAATGTGATGATGTTTGGATAATTTTTTTAAAATCAATTTTGAATGGGTAATTCTACTATTTACAATGACAAGTTAATAATATTCAAAATTGATTTGTTAAAATGGAATAAATTTTAACTTATCTCAAATGTAGTTTTGAAAATCAAATAAAGTTTAAAAAAATTAGAGTGTTTGGATAAAAACTTTTAAAATCATAATTTTAAACTTAAAATTAATTTTAAAAGGATATCCAAACAAGCCTCTTATCTTGTTGGCCAAAGAGGGAGGCTGCCACACCTAAGTAATCATAATCACGACGTACACTCGTAAAGCGACTATTTTGACGATTTAAAGCAACCAAATACTAAAATTTAAACATTTTTTATTTATATCCAACAATCTTTTCATGGATCTGGACTGGATTTTCTTAGCTAACAAAACGGCGAGTCGGTGATAATTTAATAAAATCAAACAGATTATAAGCTATACTATCGAGTGACGAAGTTGACATTCATATGTTGTTGGACAGTCGTTAGCTGGTTTCCATACAAATTTTGCCGGAGTCCAACACTGATTCGAGGAACACGTCTACCTAGCTCTTCAATGGCATCCTTGAATGGACAATGCTCCCGGGGAGCATTACACTGCGCAAAGAGCCAAAGACAGATATCAATGAGGCCTGTGAATAGCCCACACAGCTTCCTGTAGCAGTACCTGACACGTCTACCCATCACAAGAAAGAACGTTACAATTAGTAAAAGCAAACACCAATTATGGGTTTCCTTCCTTCCCGTCCTAGAGGCGTGGAGTTGAATCCAAGCGAGTGGACGCCTTTCAATTGCCACAACTGTTTACACTGAAAAGTGAAAATTAGAGGACAGGTTTGGCCCAAGTCATGAGATACATCCCTAGAGTTCACAGGAAGGGAAGCTGTTAAACCCGATAATTGTTGAGTACTGAGAGTTAAATCAGATATGTCATTGAAGGCCCATGGGCGGAACCCAGCCCATTGACTGCGCGGATCATACAAATGGGGAGTGTTGCCCGAACCGTCTCTGGAATGTGAACGCGCGGCTTTCCAGATTCCATGTGCACGGATTAATTGATGGTAATAGAAAAGGGGGCGTTAGAAGAACTCATGACTTTCCCTCACTGGTAGACGTTTTGAGGAAGACTTGAAGCGCTATGGAATGACGAAGCATGAGTAGGGGAGGAGTCGGTATGAGTAGGGCCGGGTCAGCCTGCATCAATCAAGGGACGAGATTGAAGCGAGTAGGGATGGCCGTGAAACGGTGTTGATCATGGTGATAGCAATGAATTGCCTGACAGTGTATGGAGCAGCAGCGAGGGAGTTAGGGACAAAGACGGGGGACTGCTGGGGGTCTGTCATGGAATTAAGGTGGTGCACGAGTGAGATAGTGCACTTCTTCATCAACGGAGAGGCCGACATCGGATCTGATTGTTGTCGTGCCATTACCGTCATAACCCATAACTGCTGGCTGGCTGTTCTTACTTCCCTCGGTTTTACTGACCACCAAGTCTATATCTTGCGAGGCTACTGTGACGCTGCTTCCGCCCCTTCCTTGGCCTGATTATTCATCACGTGCTTCTACCCTCCATTACCTGTTTAGCGAGTCATCCTCCTTCCTGGGGTTGTATATTCTTTGTTATTGCCTGCTCTGTCAACTTATCTCTGCTACCCTTTTTCCTTTATGTATGTATGTATGTATATGTATATATCATAATATTTTCGACAGATTTCATTGAATATTCAGCACATTTCGATCTTCTTTTACTCTCGTGTCATTAACTTATATTTCTGAAATTTCTCATTAACAAAAGAAATTTAAGTCAGACTTCTTTTCTTTTCTCTCAAAGAAAAAAAATAAGGATATGATTGAGGTAAGTGTCACGTGGGTGGGGGTAGGTAACAAAATATTTCGGAACACAACCATATGCTCAGTCCAGTGCAATAAAAGGATGCAAGAACAGTTCAGAAAACTAATTATTCTGTTTGGCCAAAAAAAAAAAAAAAATTATTTTGTCCTCTTCTGCATAGAAGTTCACATCTCATACCTAAAATACTCTGGCATCGCGGCCTTCATTAATTAAGAGACAACAACATCGAAGCTAGCATTAGAACTACTCCACCACCCCTCTTAAGGAGTTTGCCACGTCAATCACAAAGCGGTACTTCACGTCAGACTTGGCCAGCCTTTCCATGGCAGTGTTGATTTGGTCCATCCTAATCAGCTCAATATCTGCACTGATGTTGTGCTTTCCACAAAAGTCAAGCATCTCCTGCGTCTCTTTTATTCCTCCAAAGTCACTTCCCCCCACGAGCTTCCGTCCTGCACGCATTACATGAGACGATCTCGGATTTTTATTGAAGACTTGCTTACATGCACATCTATATGTTCTAGAGCGCGCGCGCGCGCTCATCGCATATGTGTTAAATGCATGCATGTTACGTAAAGTCTGAAATTCTATCCATAAAGTGAAATTTTAAATTCTTCTATTCTGCTCGATTGAATTGCCTTGCAAATTTGAAAATTCCATTCTTTCTACTTGAAAAGGGGAAAAAAAACCATCAAAACTCATCCAAACAAAAAAAAGACTTCTTAGTTGTAAACATCACGATGAAAAAGAAAAAGCACTCATTTAATTTGAATAGATCTGATCTCACCAAAGATGTCTCCCAAATATCAAGATACCAAGGCGGCTTACCTGCAACTAGAGGGAAGATCGGAAGCTCTAAGGGCTTCACAGGCAACCCAACGGTGATCAGCTTCCCATTTAACTTCAGCAGACCAAGCAGAGGAACGAGGGAATGGACTGCGGAAATTGTGTCTATGATGAAGTCCATGCTGTTCATAGCTGCCTGCACATAACATATACCAGAAGATTCAGCAGGGATTTGAAAGATAGAATCAAGTAGCCACAGATTGCATTATTATGTTGCTGATTATCGTGGAGAACATGGTTGGTTTCTCGTACTTCAATGTTAGAACATAGCAACCCATTGTGCGGTTTCGGCTGATAGAGGAAGTGACGTCTATCATGCTGAGACACATCCCATGGGCAGTATTTTAACAATAGCTTCAGAGTCTCTCATAGATATTTAGTTCTATGCAAGCCATTTTTTCTCTAGTTCACTTGCTCCCGTGTTAAGGGCAACATGAAACAAGTCCCTAGCCCCTAGGTGTGCTCCAATGGGGAGAAATTTGAAATGTTTGCTGGAAGTTTTAAGTTCAATCTCTTGTACTATTTTGTATTCATAGAAAAAAATCCAAAAGACAATGCAGAGACAAGCAAAAGTTAATTTGTCAAAACTAACTTTTTTCTAGGGCTACATCTTACCTTCATTTTCTCAGGGTCGGTCGAAACAAGGAAGGAATCAGCCCCAAGGTTGTTGATAGCCTCGACTTCCTTTTTCTGGGAGGTGCTAATGACAGTAACTTTCAGCCCAAAGGCCTTGCCAATTTTCACTGCAACATGACCTAACCCACCAAGCCCTGCCACTCCCAAATGTTTACCTGGCTCTGTCATTCCATAATATTTCATTGGACTGTACGCAGTAATCCCAGCACAGAGAAGTGGAGCACCACTGTCAAGGGGTAAGTTCTCAGGAAATTTCACTACAAATCGCTCGTGAACAACCACAAAATCAGAATAGCCACCATAGGTTCTTATCCCATCAAAGCCGAGAGAGTTGTAGGTAAATACTGGTCGAGGACAGTAGTTCTCCAGGTTCTGCTGGCAAGCATCACATGCCTTGCAGGAGTCCACAATGACACCAACTCCGACTTTGTCACCCACTTCGAATTTTTTCACATTATTCCCAGCTTGTGTCACAACGCCAGTAATTTCATGTCTGTAAAACACAAATTATAGAAATTCAGTGCGGGGCAAAATTCCATGGCATCCTGATAAAGTTCTATCTCCATTAGCAAAGCTATTTATGATATATTAAGGATGAGAGATTATAAATGAATAAAAGCTAATTGATCAAGTTTCCAGAACAAAAATCAAGAAAAAACCATTGATTAAATACTGACGAAGCACAAGAAAGGTAAAATATATAATAATATAAAAGCCGGGGCACATTATAAACAGAAACCCCTTTGCCATTAAAGTTGAAAGACCACACTTTGAAGGTAACAGAACATATCAACAGAGACGGACCAACTAGCGACATGAAAATTTCCAGGAGTAAGTAAGGAATCATGAAGGGCCACAATCCAAATCATTTGTTGTGGAAGGATTGAAGAAGCACAGACTTCTAAGGTGCTGCGCGAGCAGAACGGTAAAATACAGAATACCGTCCCAGTATGCCCGAGAAAAACCTAAATAAATAATCAAGTTCAAGTTATCTTTGAATCCAGGTGTATTTTAAACGCCAGAATATCCTATGTCCCCATCTCAACCTTCCAGTGCAAACGCAAACTAACATATAAGTATTTCATGGTCATACACCCTCAATTCACTTAAAAAAAAAAGAAAAAAGAAAAAAATGTTCCTGCAGTCAAGACAACCAGAGATGGATACCGCGTTATACAAATTGTAGCCTCAAACCAGAAAACCAAGGTTCAGCAGGCCCTTGAAGTTAATCAATGTACAATACTTCACAGTGCATTTCAACGGACCATATCACATGGCAAAACTAAAATGCTACGGAACTTATGAGTCCTGGGAAATATATGGTGATATAAGAAGAAAAGAATAACAAAAAAAAAACTTCGATAAAATTAATAAATAGGAGGCCAAAGATTTCATCTAAAGACATGAGATCTTCCCTATGATAATTTCAAAATTCACAAGTGAACATGAACGAGGAAATCCCGCTTGTTCCTTTTAGTATAAATACATCAGCTGGCAACTCTAGAAGTATAAAATACACTCCCAATGGCAAGAAGTTGACAAGCGGACAACAGAATCCTTGGATCTTATTGTTAGACAATTTATAGTTAAAAGGCCCCTTCCTCTAAGCTCATTGTATTAATGTCTCTTGGGCAATTGGATTGTTCGTTCCTTTTTTTGGTCAACTGTTCAAAGAGACAGATTTGCAAGCAAAAAAAAAAAAAATGCAGCCAAGTTAATGTTTTTATCAAATATTGCTAAGGGCGGCAGTTTGCGCTAGTAGAATTAAGAAAGGATCTTTTGTGAAGTTGAATTCAAACTTTGATCAATGAAATAGTATTTAAACTTTAAGAGATTATTATGCTAAATATCAGTCTTTTATAAAATCTAACGTAACTTGATTTTGATACTCCTTCACACATTTTTTCCGTGATCTTATATGGACCTGTAGGGATGTTTTAACTTTGTCTCCTATTATCTTTGATTAAAAAATGCAAGGAGTTGACAGCTCTAAGACTGGCACCTTTTGCATTAAAAAATAATAACCTCTGCTCAATGAAAGAATCGCATGACTTAGAAAGTATATCTATAACATATCGAGATCGAATACCAATAAGTTCAGCCCTCGGCCACATTAGAAATACACGTCTGCGTGAAAAGTTGGAGACAATAGCAATGTGTCCCCCCCTACCAATAATTTGAGATTGCTATATTAAAACTTAAAAGCCTTCATTTGTTGGCCAGAGCAGGGACTTCAATCAGGAAGTACAAGAAAAGGGATCATACCCAGGAACAACGGGGTACGTTGTGAAACCCCACTCGTTCTTAACAGTATGCAGATCCGAATGGCAAACCCCACAAAACAAAATTTTCAAAGCAACATCATCGTCCCCAACTTCCCTGCCAAAATACAAATGCAATTATGTTAAAGATTGCTCGAGCAACTCAGTAGAGGAATCCAAGAAGAGTACTCAATCGAAGTTTCGTTCTCAAGTTCTCCACTCCAACCATGGGGGCTTGTTACGCCGACGATTAAAAAGAAATGGCAAGGTTTCAATGAAGAAGCCAGCACCCACTAGAACACAATACTCTATGCGCTTGAAATCGGGTTGCAACGATATCTACTTATAGAATAATCAGAATGCTCAAAATCCCCGGGGAAGAAAGAAACTAAGGCGGGATGGTGTTAAGCTAAAACATATAATGCTTATCAACGATTAATCAAATTGCCATTGGCGTGCTGAGGCAAAACTGTTTTGAAAAAAATGCCAGGCAAGAATGGAAAACACCGTTGTCGTCTAATTTTTTTTTTTTAAAAAAAGAACTGAATGATCGAAATTCTTTGCTAAGAGATAGTGAATAAGATAGGTGCTGAATTTCCCGATTGTTATCTCTAAGATAGAACAAGATCGAAAAGAGACTGAGAGAGCAAGGCAAAACAGAAAATGAAGGGGAGGATTGACCTTCTCGAGAAGGTAAAGGGAGAAAGATGGCCAGAATTATCCCTGGCAGCCCAACCAATGCCTTCTGCGGATACTCACATTCAAGTGATTTCGCCATCCTCACTTTTCTCTACACTCTGCTTTCTGGCTCCCTTTAATTTCTATTTTATCAAGTTTAAATGAAATAGTTCCACCGACCTCGAGTAAGTAACCAAAGGCAATGACCATAGATCGAAAAAGCAAGTGCATTTATTTTTTGCTTAATGGGTGGGGAGGCATTCAACGGCACATTTAATGGTTCAGATCCCAAATTTTTAAGAGAAATTGGCCAAAAGGACCCAAATATTTGATAAAAGTACAATCGTCCAACTTGTAATCATTCCTCGGATTGTGATCTCGGAGGGGAAATATGTATATTGCAATAAAAAGACTAAAATGCCTTTAATAAAAAAGAAGAAGAAGAAGAAAATAGTGAGACATGGATAGGAGTATAACAAAAAGAGTGTGGCGCGCTAGTTTTCAAGAAAATTTAAGCGCATCTCCGATTTCTGTACTTTTAAAAATTATCTACTATTTTTAAAAATAAAAAATTGTTTGAATAAGTATGTTAGGTTTAAATATCTTTTAAAACTATTCTATTTTTTCAAAAAAAATAAAATAAAGACACTTTAGAGCTATTTTCATTTTATTTTCTTATTTTTAAAACACACTATATTTAAATTTTGACCATTATAAATTACATTTAGTTATGGCCATTAGTCACTACTATCATAAGATATTATTATTAATTATTGGAGATCACTATTATTGGCATTTTTCTAATCTGACGATTATTTTTAAATTAATATAATCAAACAAATTTTTATTTTATTTTATTTTTAAAAATTGTTTTACATAGTAATTTAAAAAATATATATAACAAAACCACACAATTCCTATCACTTATTTGAAAATCCAACCTTGGTGACACGAACGTTCAGGATAGAATAAACAAAAATGTTCCAAGAAAATACGACTCTTTTGTTCGAGAAACTGAACCAAGTGTTGGATCAAAGAATATACCATGAATCTTCAAAAAGCATCCAAACTGCTTCGAAACTTTGCAACTTTTCTAAGCCTTGAAGAAGTGCTTGAAGGGGTTTGGACTTTGGAGGAGACTGGGAGTTGACGGAGGGAATATAATTGCATTCAACTTCAAATGTTTTCCATTTTCTTCAATAATTTCCAAAACACAACTTTAACATTCCACATGCATCTTCAACAGATTTTGAAAGTCTCCAGTTTCAAGAGTATACACAAATCTTCAAAAGCCTTTTATGTGTCTTGAAAATCGTTGGAATAGAGGACGGAAATTATTTGCAACTGCCTTTATGCTGCATCTAAATTAATGAAAATTTAGATTTGAATTTGATTTAAATCTAAATTTATTTTTTATTATAATTTTAAATTTTTTACACGCTCTAATTATTTAAAATTTTAATTACTTTGAACATTTAGTTCTTCATATTTTATTATTAATACTTTTATGACTCTTTTATTTTTTCTTATCTTTCATTGTTGTCTCTAATCAACTAAAAAATAAAGATAAATTCATCATTTTTAATTTTCTTTTTTTATTTAAAGTCTCAACTCATCTATATTTTTCATTTGAATCTTTTTTTTTAAATTACCCTGAAAAAAATTTTAAATATATGAGTTTTGAATATAAGATTTAAAATGCAAGATTTTAAATCTGAAAATTAAATCCAAATTCATCAATATAAATGCTACCTTAATTGTATTCGAAATTTCTTCAATAATCTTTAACATTTTTGAATCTTCAGCAATTTTCAATTTTCTTCAATGCTCAATGTTGTTACTTTCTTCTTAAAGACTTAATGTCCGACTCTAAAAATTCATATAACCTTGGTCGTATTTTCAAAATAAAGTTTCAAATCTCTTTGAAGGCCAAATTTCTCATGCCATGATCTTTCCGGCACGTTCTCAAGTTTTTCTTGTCTTAGGACTAGTATTAATGACAGTTTAGCCTTTTAATGAAAATAAATATTCCTCTAAAGACAGAAGATGGCGGAGGCCATACGTGCAGGGACCCCAACTTTTATATTTTTTCCAAGGAGTCATTGGTTCCATATTTATAGCATGTGTCTCAATGATATTTTAGTCATTTAGGCATTCAATTAAATTAAAATTTACTTAATATAATAGAGGTCAATTCTAAGTTATTCTCTCCAAAGAACAAATTAAGAGTTATCTTAAATTAATTATAGGTATTAAATTACTAATGCAAAAAAAAAAGTCTAAAACCAAATGCAAGATTTCTACACTAGACTATAAATGAAAAAAATGCAAATTATGCGATTAAAACTATTTAAATAGATGTTAATGCTTATGTTACCTAAATGCTATTATGCAATTTATGAATTCTAAATTATGACTGGGGGCTTTGTTTCAAGAGAATTAAAATGCTAACTAAAAAATTAATAAAGTGACAAAGTAAGTTAAATAACTAAAAACAAATTAAGAAAGGTGTGATTTGAAAAGTGGTAAATAGAACAACTTAAAACTTCATATGAAGTTAATTTTCATAGCATAATTTAATTAATTAGATCAAAGGGAAATTATAAGAGAACAGAATTAATGAATGTAATCATCTAATTAGAGTTAAAGGAACCTTTAAGCACAAAACTCTAACACTTAATCTACCAGATAACTTGTAGTAAAGTAAGTGATATCACTATGAATTAGGCCAACTAAATATACCAGATAATTAATTCAAAATAAATGTAAAAAATATATTTAGATTATCTAACTAAACAATTAAATAAATTAACAACTCAATTAAACAATCAAGATGTAAAAAAAAAAAAACCAAATTTGCAGCAGCACTTCACAGTGACAATAAATTATTGATAATAATTCAATCTAATTGGCAATGTAGGGTTATATAAACATAAATTTTAAAAACTCATTGCACAAGAATTTAATCCAAATATCAATTCAATCTAAGATTCAAAGTATTTCAACCTAAAATTAGATTACAACTCATAATCACTTAAAATTAAATAATTCTAAGCTCTTTCACTAATAAATTAAATGGAAGATCACCTCATAGTTTTCAAGTGTGAATCCTAAGCTCTAATTTCTTCTATGTCCATTCAATTTGTCTCTCAAGCTAAAAGGGCCAATAATAAAAAGATAAAAAGGAAAAAATAAATTTTCTTAATTCTTTCTTGCTGTGATTTACTTACAATATATTTAATAAACTTCAACAATGTCTTTCAAATTTTGAATATGTTTAAAATAAATCTCATTTTTCATGAAATATTTCAAAATTATTTTTTTAACAATTACAATTTTCTCACAAAATGTTAAAAAATTTGAATAATGTACAAATTTAAATTAAGTTCAATTAAATATTGATAAATTTAAACTATGTTAAAAATAAAAATAAAATTTTAACAAATTAACCCAAAACTATTATTAAAATTCATGTAAAAGCTGTGATAAAATATATAAAATTATGATTTGCCCATCTCTCAATCATGACTCCATTCAAGAAGGTTTTTGGGTTTAGGTGAAAACATTTTTGGATGTTTTTGCAACGATTTTTGCGGGTTTGGCGGGTTCAGCAAAGCTTTGAGAAGATGAATTCAGTTCTAAAAAGAGAATGTTTCGTCTAAATCTGGATTTAAGAATGTAGAGAGGGAGGTGAAAGAGAAAATGATGGCATCAACAAATTATCAATATATATATATATAGAGAGAGAGAGAGAGAGCAAATTGGTATAAAAGAAGCCATGAGGATAATGTAGATAATAGAATGGCGCTTTTAGTATTATTTGTATGGCTTGTCATTAATTTTTAATCACATTTTCTCTTGCACCCCTGCTAAGATGGAGGAAAAAATAAGAAGAAAATAAGAATAAGAGAAAACTATGAGAAGTTGTAACATCCCAATTAAATTTTAAAAGTCAAATAGAGTTAATAAAAATTAGGGAAAAAAACTTTTCATAATGATTAATTTAATTGGGAGATGATTTCTGGGCTTAAGTTAGGATATGATTTTAAGTTTAGATTTTTTTAAGAAAATGGAAATAGACTAATAGTAGCAGGAGGAGGGGGGGTGAGGAGATGTAATGGGTAAAACTAAAAAACTAAATAAATAAAGGAAGGAGATGGCTCCCACAATCAATTTAAAACGCAGGGCCCTTCTTTTCTTCATTCCATTTATAAACGCCTTTTGACTTGCTTGGAGCTTTTTAATGTTAACTATTATTTTAACGAGCAGAGAAAATTTGAATATCAGGGCTTGGATTAAATATTGAGTTTTTACAATGGAAAGTATAAGATTTTAGAGATAAATTAATACTTAAATTTTATTATTTTATATTTTCTCAAATAACTGATTTGAGGAGTTGAGGTTGGAGTTTAATGAAAAATTTGTAATTTATGATTTTGGGAGTCATCCTTTTCAAATTTTATAATCTGTTTTGGTTTAATGAAGGTTATATATGTTGATGATTAAATAGATTAATTATGATTTATTATTGAATGTGAATATTAGTGATTTCTGTGGGTATTGTGAATGTTGGAATTTTGAGAATAAGGATGATTTTAGAAAATTATTGTTATTTAATAAATATAATGAAATGAGGTTATTGAATTATAAAAATAAAATTGGGATGGAGAAATTCCTGATAGTGAACTAAGATTTTAAAGAAAAATAAAGTTTTGAGAAAATTGAGATTTTTCTATAATGATTAAGAATTTATTTGAGTTTATAAACATGATTGTGAGGTGCTAAAATGATTATTTATGGCATGAGACTAAATTTACTATTCATGGGGCATTTTTGTGCGAATTTATGGAATAGAAAAAAAGAAAATAGTGATACTAAAAATCAATTAAATGTTAATTATAGCTTGTTGATGATCACAATGTATTAGAAGAAGGTTATAATTTTGGTTAGTCATATTAACATTAAAAGTGATATGAATAATAAAATTCAAAGTGTAATTATATCCTCTGACTCTATAATAGATTTGTTTTATTAATTTCAATAACTAGAATTAATAAATTATAGTACTATGCCATAAATAGATTGCACTATCGGTAAAGATTGGGATAGAAGAAA